CACCTTCCGTTTGCTTTAGTCCACTGGGAAAAATAAGAATATGTCCAGTGATTCCCTTTAAAACCAACAGGGGAATATAAACAATAGTCATTTCAGCAAATAGAAGATTCCATGGTCTTTGTTTCAACTGTGCTGGCCATCGACCTTGGAGGCAGTTAGATGATTTGTGGGGTGCGCAGGAGCTGCCTCTACCAAAGTGGCCTCTACCAGTCCTCAACAAACTCAAGGAGTTTCCTCAAGTGGCCCACATGGGTGTGTCGTTTGATGGGGATCCCTTTCAGCTTGGGTTTAACGGGACACCGCCAAAATAAGGGGGTCCGAATCCCTGTGTTGAGACACACCCAAATAGCAAACAAGTCTTGTGCTGACGACAAGTGCAGCCTTGTTTTGGGGCCAAGTGCTCGAAATCGATCCCTTTGGGGTTGCTGGCCCGTAGGAAACCCAAGGAAGCCACACAAATCAGTTACGTATTGTCTTGTCAACATCTTAGGCTCGGACCCAAGTTGGGGTCGTTTCCATGTCGCTTGCTAAACATCCCAATTTGATGCGGCAAGAAGCCTTCCGAGTCGGTGCTTCCGGTGAGAGAGAGAGAGAGAGAGAGGGAGAGCCTTTCCATATCCGTGAAACAGACGCGGGAGTCGTTTGTAAGCAAACTTCGGCGGCAACAAGACATCCCCGGCGGGTAGCGCATAGAAAGCTGTGTTTAGGCCTTTCTTTTAGATGAGTGGACAAATTCATTTCTCAGGACTTGGGAATGGGTCACAATGTTAACCAACAATGGACGGCCAGTAACTTTGTGCGGGTCCTTTGAGTCATGGTCAACGCCGGCAGTTCTACTGGACGGGGGGAAAACGAATGGGCAACCTAGGCCAGCCCGAGTGGCTAGGCTGTCGTTCATGCAGAGGTTCAGGTTGGATCGGCAGCACTAAACAAATAGAGAACTCGGGCTTGTGTCAAAACCGGGGGATCCTAAAAAAAGTTATTTCCTTTTGGCTTCCCTTTGAACCAACCTGAAACAGGGTACTTACCCTCAAAAAACACCGAAAAGGCAACCAGTTGACGAGGTAAGTTAAGTCTGGCAATGAAATGTCGGATGATGAAGACGGGCAACTGAACTGTCAAAATCAAGTTCAAAAAGAGGCTCCAAACCAATGGACAATTCGGGTCTTCCAAGGACACACAGTTTGTCCGTGAGCTTAAATCATCTCAGCAGCTGCAAGTCTGGCTTGTTTCTCTGCCCAGTCGCGGAGAATGTTGTGCTTGATCTTCAGCAAGGTTGCTCCAAAGATCGTAGTAGAAGGGTAGAACTTTGGTTCCTGGTAGAGAACAACCACGGAAAACCGCTCACCATGTTTTTGCTCTTCCCCTCATGAGGGGTGATCATTTTCCGGGCAACTCTGTCCAACTCGGATGTTCAACCCACATCAGGTAAGGAGGTTATGCTTGCAGGGGCAAGCCCCAGCTGTCCAACCCGAAAAACACGCAACGAAAGGCACCCACCCCAAAAAAAAAGAACACACAAGCAAACAACAGAACAAAGGAGCCATACACAGGAACCAACGGAACCAAACACAAAACAAAGGAGCCAACGCCAAAAACACACGGGAACCAAGCAAAGGAAACCAAGTAACCAGAGCACAAAAGGGAGAAACAAACCAAGGAACCCACGAGAAAAGGCGAAAAATGCGGGGGCACCCAGACCCGACTGACACCCCCTGGCCTCAATCGCCTGGCCCAGCCGCGCGAGGCGCGTGGCGTGTGCCACCTGATTCCAATCGAGGGGTCCATGACTTGAACCCCAAGGTCAGTGGACCATGGGCTTCCTGTGGGGTTCCCGACTGCATGGTGGGTTGGGGTCATTCCCGAACTAGCAGGTCAGTTGACCATGGGCTGATCTCAAATCAGATATGGAAGAAAATGCTTCGTTTCCTGTGGGGTTCCCTTCAACTCACTTGAGCAGGCTGGGCAGAAAGACTTTAGGGGAAGTTAGGCCCAATGGATGGTGGGTTCGGGTCATTCCTGGCTCTAATGTTCCAACAAAACCATCTCTCTTGGATTGGTCGAAATTACACCTGCACAAGGTTGTTATGCTTCCTGCATCAGAAGGCAAGGTACGTAGTACGTTGCTAGTATCCCTGGCTATATCCCATTTGCATTTGCCATGAGTTGTCTTTCTGCATTGTTGTACCCAGGGTTACTAGCCTCTTATGTTGGGGCTTCCGAGCACCTCTTTAAGTAGTCAAAGGTATAATTGTCCAAAGCAAAGGATAGATCACTCGGAAACACACACACGCAAGTTTAAGGAGGAACAAACAGTAGATTAATTCTGCTAAAGAACTGATCAACTAGGGTCGACCAAAAGCAATACCAAGAGAGTCAACCTAAACTGGCAGCCTGCTTGAAGTGCTCCCACTTGACAAAGCACAGAGCTTCAAGCTAGACAAGGTGGTCATTGATGTTGCATGAGCTGCCTGTAACATGTGTCCTCAATCAAGACCAAAAACACTTTGCCACTGGATTTGCCGTATTGGGCTGGGGGTATCTTGCAAACTTGCAATGTGCGGTGTCCACAGTCAATCTCCGACAAAAACAACCGCAACAGAAAACCACCGGGGCCTGTCTGGAAACATGGCAAACAAAGCTGGCGTCACCGGAAAATGTCCTCGCCGAGTTGCTGGAAGTGAGGCCCTGCAACATGTTACACGTTTGATACTGTGGACGAAATCCAGTATCACTTTGAAACCATGGTTGAAACCATTGTTTGTTCGCATTTACAGGGGAAGTGAATGATTCCAGGGTTTCTGAATGGATTTCGTCTATCCATGGTTGAAGGAATTTGTCTAATAGAATCCCCTGGGTGTCCTATTCTGTCTGAAAGGCATGAGACATTTTTCTGAACACGCTTATCAAGGCGTTGCGAACTTGAGTTCCAACCTCCATTTGGGTGTATCTTAAAATAGGGGCCCCTGTGGCGGTGTCCCCTTTCGTGCCATTTCCCTCGTTCCCCCCAACTCGCCACAAGAGGAACCCCCCAACTGCTTTTTGAGGCTACCCTTTTGTAGGTACCCTCCCAGCGATTAACATGGAACCTGACAGGGACCCGGTCCCTTTTGTTAAGGAAAATGGTTGAAAGCAGGATCCCCCTTTCAGGTTCCATGTTAATTGGTGGGAGGGTAGTTTACAAAGAACAACTCAGGGGGAAATCGCCCAGCCTTCCCCTAGAGACAAACCCAAGTGGGAGGATTGGCCCAAAAGCTCGCTTTCCGTTTGCCACTAAAATTATCATCTGAGCCACGATCGAAAGTGACTTGTTCCCCCAAGAGGACATAGCACAAATAGTGAGCCCCACATTTTTGTGGGGAATTTAGTGCGTCCCTCCGTCCCAATTGACCATAGACCACCAGCGATTCTGGCCACACCTCTGGGCATCCCGTCTGAGACTTCAGTGCACTCCACACCAGCTGCCAGCTCCTGGTGAGCCAAATGGCCTATCCTCTGGTGCCCCAATAGCAACAACCAGTGCGGTTCATGGTTGTGGGAAATCACATCTGTGATACCAAAATGGGTCATTCCCATATGACTTTACCACTTGGAAGTGGTTTCTCGTGATAGCACAGCACGCCCTCCCAACAAACAAAAAGAAAAATGGTCTTCCAGCAACCCTTCGATGCTTGTTTTTGAGAGGGTAACATTCCAAGTGTTCGTTGGTTGCTTCACAGGATGTCAACGGGTGCTTTCAAAAGTGTAACCCTGGGGTAGGGGATTACGGCGGGACCTGGGTGTCAGATTCGTTTTTTGTTGTTGGTTTTTCCGGCACCTTTTGTTTGAAGGAAAACCAAAAGAGAAACCGCAGCCATTTTGGGGGATTGAACAAGTCACAATCATGTGGAGAAAATCCGTTTTGCGCCAACTCGTAGGTGGTCTATCAACCAGTATGCAAATCGGATTTCATCCATCCCAACTGATGCAAAGTGGATTTTGTTGTCCATCCACAATATCTGTGGGGCGCACTGTCTGGTGCACCTACAGGGGTGCAACGGCCCTTGAGACTGTTGCCTCATGCGCCCCCTGTTGGATTTGAAAGGGAAATCAAATGAAAATCAAGCATTTTCAGAGGAAAAAACACATCAAGCTATTAGACAAGAGGTCCGCACAGTGGCTTCAAAAACAGTCACCTGTCAACAGGACGTGGATGTGGTCCTCTTTCCTGCTGACCTTTCTCAAGGGATGATCATATGGGTGACCATGGGTGGGCTCGTCTTTTTGTCTCCTTTCCTTTACGTTCGTGGAAATTGGTTTACACGGAGGCCAAAAGGAAAACAAAAACGACCTCCATTTTGGTGGCCCCCTTTTGACACCCATATTCTTCGACCAATCCGTTAACTCGTTGCCATCGGCCTAGAGGGCCCAGACTCTGCTGGACCTCAGAGGCGGAGTCGTGGCTTTTTGGCGAAAAGGAAACAAAACAACGAGCCGCACCCGGAGTTCAAACTGTTTTCTCACCTGACTCGTCCGACTGCTCCTTGATGAGACTGGCCGTCTTGGAACTTCTGAACTCCTGGCACGATGTTGTCCCCTAACCAACAATACGTGTGTCTGTGATTTTGCGAGGCTCGGTACTCTTGGGGATCCAGCGCAACAGACATGTCCCAAATGTCGAAAGGCTTGGGGACAGAGTTACCCTTTAAGCCTCGAGGCACTTGTTCCGAAGCTTGTGTTCAAGAGCATCTTCGTCTTCCAAAGCCCGCCATGATCGTCTCACATTGGAAAAGTCTCAGAGACCCAAGCCTCGCTTTTGTCAACTGTGTCCACGCCAAGCAAATCTCACATCTGAAATACGAACCCCTCTAGCAAAGGCTGTCACGCCATTTGCTTAAGTCCCCAATACGCATATTTTCGGTAGTCAGAAATTCCCTTTCAAACGAACAGGGGATAATAAGCAACGCATCCTTAAGCAAAAGGAAGTCATGGGCGCGCTCGTTTTGCCATTTGCCCAATGGCTAGCCCAGCTCCTCTTCCTCTTGGTTACGCTTCTGCTCCCACCAGGATTCAGCCCTTGGCTGAAGCGTTCGCTCGATAATTTGATCCTATTGCAAGGGCATTCACTTTCACCTTGGCCCACACAAAAAGGAGGCCAGAGAAAATCCGATGATCAGCTGTTTCATATCTAGTCTGCATGTGTCACGTTAGAGGGCTTTTACCTAGGGCTTTGAAAATCGTTTAGCAGGGACCCTGAAGTTGCCGGGCTTTGTTTGCAAGCAAGGGTATTTCCGGGGGGTGGGGGGTACAATGGTTGCCAAAAACTAAATCAAGGTGGTCTTAAACCAGGCTTCCTAAGCACTTGCGGTGGGAGGAACCTGAGATGAATTTGGGTGTCTTTTAGTCAGCAATACCCTTTTTGAGGCGCCAAGGAGCAGCCGGCAGACCTCCCTTTGCATGCTGCGGGGGTGTAAACAATCAAAAGGGCGAACGTGTCTCCAAGGTCCGAGAGCTCCACTGTTGGGTCGTTTTTTGGGCAAAAGCGTTGGGTTCCCTACCAGTACTGCTGCTTCCCATGTCGAAGATCCCAAGCACTGTCCAAAAGGAGCTGTTGGGGGCTGTTGGCAAGGGCGGAATTTCACTTGACACAAAATCCAACGGGATGCTGAAGCAGAAAACAACCAGGATAAAAAGGCATAAACGAGCCATGCTTGACGCGCGAATCAAGCTGCAAATCAGGCCTATCAGGTGCAACTCCAGCACTCTTCTCTATGGGTTGAATGTAAGTTTATCCACTTGGGTTTTGCTCCATCCCAAAAAGCCATCCCTTTTGATGTCAAAGTCAGCACATTCCCAACTGAAATGAGAGGATGGTTATGAAAGACTTTTTTAAAGATCGCAAACTCCTCCAATCGGTGTCGCGATTCAATCTGCACCTGAAAACACAACTACATGTAGCAAGGACAGCGAAGCGAAGGATGCCAACCAGGGTCCGATCCCGAACGGGCCCCTTTGCCATTTCCCTCTATATAATGCGGACTCTCTTTCAAGTTGAAATCATTCAGGCAACGGAAAGCAACTGGCAGCATGGGTGCATAATAGGAAAGCACAGAAAGGCAAAGCAAGGGAAAGCAGGAAAAGAAAGGGAAAGAAAGGGAAAGCAAGTGACAAGCAAGAAGCCAACATCTCCAGCATCACCAGCATCGCCGAGAAAATGCAGGGGATACAGGGTGCATCACCTGCATCACCTGCAAGCGCTCGCCATTAGATCAGACCTCAACAGCTACGGTATGCCTAGCTTGATTTTTGCGCAACAACAACAACAACAACAATGCAAACAACACGCTCCAGTTGTTTGTGATCGTGTTCGCAACTTCTCCCCCCCCCCCCAAAGCACCAAACACAACTCTGGCGACAAAGTCGCTTTCCGTCCCAAAGTAAAGGACCCACAACATGGTAAGCTCGGATTTAGCCCTCGAATCGGTGAGCTCGCAATACGACACCTGGCTTTCACTTCGTTTCCCTACATAGGCTTGCTTCAAAAGCTTCGCTAAGTCTGGGAATGAGTAGACGTGTCTCTAGGGGGGGACGGGTTCATAAGCTGATATCAAGACTTCCTACAGTCGAAGTTTGCACAAGTTTGCCCGAAAGCACAGGGGGTGCTTTGAAAATTGTTTGTGGGAAATTTTGCGAGTCTCCCAACATAGACCAATCCAGAAGATGTTGCATCTGTCCCAAAATCGAAAACTGACCTCTTTGGGTTGCGGTCGCTTACGCCCAGGCGCGGTTCGAGCTTCGGTCGCTCCAAGATCTCCAGCTCCGCTGCGGTCCATCTGGGCGCCTTGGGCGGAAGGCCAAGCGAGTCAGTGGTAAAAAGGGGAAAGAGGGAAAATGCCAAAACAAAACCTGCTCTAGGACTCTAGGATTTCCCATCTGTCCACTCAAACACATGTCAATCTTGGGCCGAACCTGTTCACATACCTGCAAACTCCTTCCAGCGATTTCAGCAACTCATGAAGGCATGCCTGTTTGCGTCCACTAAGGAAGTATGGATTGTCCATAATTTGGTGAATCCCTTCAAAAGATTTATCAAAAGTCCCCCCAACAAACACTGCTCCAGGTTGGAGCTAACAGATGTTTGCTTTTCTGGCGGATCCCTTCAAACCCGAAGTCTCAAGTGACAGGTGTCCTCTTAGGAGGAACCGTGGACACTGGCAAGTGAGAGCTGAAACCGGCCGCTTTTTTCTGGGCGTTTCCTCCTCTTCACTGATTCTGTGTAGACATCACGGCCTTTTCAGCCGGTTCGAGCCGTGGCAGGAGCTCACATTCGGAGGGTGCGACCCAGAACTCCAGCGAGCCATGGAAGGGAAAAAAAGAGTTCCACCTAGCACAAAACAAATCCGTGTCTCAGAAGGGCGTGGCTCATAGCTTTGGATAGAGCCCCTTGGAGCCCTCTAAAGATGTCTTGAGAACCATCCACATTTGCGTAACTTGGTAACCTCCTTTGGATGGTAAGTGAAACCAAAGGACAGCAAACGGACACCCCTGTAACCTATTTTGGGAATCACTCCTTACCTGGGCCAGCTAGGGTTACGCGCCCGTTCGTGGGAATATGTCCAGCCCTCCATTTCGGAACCTCTGATATGCACCTAGGGGCAAAAATAGCAACATAAATCCATCCTTTTCTGTCGCCCTTTCAGGGAAATGAACAAAATCGTTGGCTATTTATGTAGCACCCAGAATTCCAGTCCTGCTGCATGAACTGTGAGTGTGCTGGTTTTTGGTGCGTTGGGGAATACTTTGCGTGGAATTTCCGTTGGCTTCTATGAAGAAAAATCGGCCCATATCTGGGGAACCAATTTATTGTTTGACTTGTCATATTCCGTCAACCCTAAACCACAACATGACAGAAGAGACCCAGGTGTCTGAGAAGAACAAAGATGATGGGGCTGCGGGGAAGTCAATGTTTCACTCCTCCCTTCACCCATCGAGCCTGCACAGGCTCTGGAAAGATCTCCCTGCGGCGAACCCTCCCTCCACTTCTGGACAAACAATGATCCCCCCATGGCGCGGGCCCCTCACCCTCCTTTTGAACCCCCCTGAAAGCTACCCCAAACCAGCCCAGAGCCTATCTGGGCAGACATAGCTTTCAGCTGTTGGGGAAACTGTGTTTTCTGGATTCCCAAACAACACACACAGGGTGCTCTTCCAAAAAAGGTACGAAGTGGAAGTAAGGAGTTCCCAATGAATCCGAGTGATCGCTGGCAAGCAAACCATTTCCTTATGGCTCCATTGGCCACCTATACTGGTACATTGAATCTGGCCAAGCCAGGGGGCTTACTGGCTGAGCTCGTTTTGTGCTTTACAGTTCGCGCGCAGCAAACATGTGTGTGTGTGTGTCCAAGGGTTGACCAGGAACATCTTTCAAACATCTCTCACTGGGCTCTTCACTATGGAGCGTTGGCCAATCCTCAATACCTCCGATTGAAAGCCACCGCAACGGGCACCCCTTGCGCAACCCAAGGCAAAAATGAACCGTTTCCTTCGACCCTTAACAAGAAAGGCCCCATGGCTTTGGGGAGGTAAGGGACATGGGTACATGAGTCCTTTGAAGCAAGTCCCTGAGGCCAGACCCTTCGCTGCCCAAACCCAGTTTCGAGGCACCCATGACCGTGTCTTAGAAACAGGACCTACTTTCGCCTATCTTCCCGTAACACCTATCAATTTATGGTCACATTTACCTCAGAAACCATTCAAATTCCAGCAAAAAAACAACCTATCCAACCCCCCCTTGAAAACCGGTCAATTGCCCCCAGAAACCAGTCCAATTTTCCATAGAAAACGGGTTAAATCTACAACCAAATTGCCCCTAGAAAACCCAGCCCACCATATATCTTGGGAACCAGCTCGCCCTATGGCCTGAGAAAAATATATTTCCCAGATACCGGATACCCTCAACAAGTTGTTGAGAAAAAAACATGAAGAAGAAAAACCACGATGGACGAAAAACCACGATGGACAAAAAAAGAAACGAGGATCACCCTCAAAGAAAGGACACACCATCGCAAAACCCGCCGGAAACTGGACCACCGGGCCGATCGTCGGCCTGGGCGCCGTGGACGGCTCCAGGAGCTCAAACTCCCCGGCGTGGGTGCTGCCTCCGGAAGTCAGGCTCCCCGAACATTCTAGGGGTTGATTCCCAATTCTTTTTAACCATCGTTCTTTTCAACACCAGCTGTTTTCCCGGGTTTTTGGTGGTTTTCTAGAAAGAAGGATCCCTGGAAAGAATGAAGAAGCAACCCTTAGAAACATGGCAGGTTTCCTTTTGGCTTCTTCTTGGGGTGTTGTGCCCCCCAGCGACCCCCCACGCCCCCGCCCTCTATCGATTTGTATCCCCACCCCCCACCCTCCCCGCACCCCCGCCGCCCCGACCCACCCAGCGACACACACTTCAGATTGTAAACAAACAAACTCGGGCCGATCCAGGGAACCCCATCTCTCCTTCTCTCGCGCCTGGGCTCTCAGGGCTCTCCGCCGAGGGGCGCCGCTTTGAGAGGTGCGCCGCGTGCCTCGGGCGGCGAAAGCGTCAGCCGTTCGAGGGATTGGGTCGGTTTTGGGGTTGAACTCATCAGATGTTAGAATCTGTTGTTGGTTTTTGAGTTGAATCTTTGGTTCCCAAGAGTCGCAGTGTGTTAGATCTACGCATTTTCGGGGGTTCAGAAACACCAGCAAATCTCTGTTGCAATTTCCAGGGATTCAGCTTTCAATTGCCTCGAGAGTCCCTGGTACATTCGTCAGATTTAACACATGTTGTTGGTGTTCGAGCCCCAAGCCGGAGTCTAAACCAACGCTTCTGGAGCACTGGGGTACCATGTGGAAGCCAGACCATGACGCGAAACCGCGACAAGGCACGCAAAGCAGGCAAGGCAGAAGGCGGAGAAATCGGCGTGTGGAGCATGGCTCTGGAAAACTGAACTCCAAAACCCAGACTTGCAGGGAACTTCGCGGCGGGGGGTTTGCACGGTTCTGGAGAACTGGATTCTACACACTTAGAGGCAAGGGTCGATGAGCGGGCCTGTGATGCCCAGGGCCACGTTTGAAAGTCATCAAGTAGTGGGAAGCAGTAGCCTTGGTTTAGTCAAAGACCAAAAGGTCCGTTGCATGGGGTGACCAAAAAGACTTTCACCACTCAATGGGAAAAGTTACCCATGGTCATTGTGGGGGCCAGAAATATTGAAACCCCGTATCGCAGATTTTGTGCTGATTTCAACTGCCGTCCAGTTGGCCTCCCTCTCAAAGATATCTACTGATCCCCAGTACCCGTGATACAAAACGGACACGCTTTTTTTTGGTGGTTGATTTCAAAGGGAACTCTCCATTAAAAAAAACAAAAAAAAAACGTTCAAAAAGGGTGACAGGTCACTGGAGAAGAGAAAAACGACCGCCTCAACTCCGGGGGATTTGGGTACGGGCCCGTATGGGTTGGACCGCTGGTTTTCGTCCTTTCCATTTGGGGCAACCCATTTGGGGTTGTTTGGTTTCCCTCAAGTGGGACAGTTCATTTCGTTCTTGACAGTATCCCGCACTTTGAGTCCCAGAACGTCTTTAGGCGCCTTGCAACTTGCGACAAGTCTCCCGTTTCTTTCGCCCCAACAGCTGAGAGCCATCTGCTCAGATGGGCTCTGGGGTGGCTTGGGGCCGCTTTCAGGGAGGGTTCCGGACGGCTCCGGGGCTGTTAGGGATACCATTCCTTTGGCGCGTTAGGTGTTTGGATGTGTTTGTTGGTTTGGTGGGGGTTGGTTTGGTGGGGGTGGGGGGTCAATTTGACCCACTAAAGGTTCAGCTTTTTAGCAAGGCACTGAGCCCGGTTTCAAGCAAGCAGTTCACCTTATATGGTCGGATCAGGCTGGTTCTGAGAAGACAACCAGGGGTTTAAGTGCTGTTTGCCCGGGTGGTGTGCAAACCATCAACTGTTCTAGGGTGTCCCACTTTGACTCACATTCATTTGTTGCTTTACCATGTGAGAGGGTAAAGATGTCTCTGGTCATGTCGAGCGTTGGTGCATGGACCGGGCCACTCTCAGAGGGCTACACTCAAAAAACCGGTCCCCATGTCAACATATCTGTTCTGCTTGCGTGGTTTCTTGACCCGGACTTACTATTTACACTTGACTCTGGGCAAGCAAGTGCTTGCTTCACGGTGAGTTTATCTGTGCGCATTTGACGACAAAGGCACAGACTGAGTGCCAACAATCTTGTTGAGGAAGTCCCCCTTGTTTCATGAGAAGGTGGGTCTGCAACTAAGGTTCCAGAAAAAACACGGGGTGGACACTCAATCCATGTTCAGGCTTCCCTATTTAAAAGGCACAGCCACTCAGAAGGAACCTCGAATTGGTCCATGCCCTGGTAATGAATATGCTGTAGCCACAAGGTATACTCTGCCACAAACGAACATGGTCACAAGAGCCCTCTGCCAAAACGAGAGCTGTCTTCCAATGGGATGTCCACGTGTCCCACGTTAGACTTAGGGGGAGGGGGTGGGGGGTCCCCCAACATTCACTATTCCACGGGCCCACCCTCCCCCAATTACATTTTAAGGGGTAGAGATGTCTGTTTATAAGCCATAGATCACCCACTGGTCACAGGTGTAAATGACCGACGTGCAGCCGGGATTGTGGTCTCAGGTATTCCGCTTGTGGATTGGGGAAAAACCTTGATACTCCGGTTGTGATCCCTTAGGTTGCAATCATGCTTTGTATTTTTCCCTGGGGAGAGTGACGCCAGCTTCCTTTCGCCAATATATTCAAGCTAAATCATCACATGCATTATTCTCCCATCATGAGGGAAGTGAGTTCAACAGATTCTCGCACATCCCTCTCTAATCATTTACTCCCTGAAAGGTACGCGCCCAGTTCACGCCCGACCCTCAATTCTCCCTTAAATATCTTTGTTTTGGGCTGAGGCTGGAAAACGTAGCTGGGCTTGTCACAGCATAGTTCATTCCAATTAAACGGGGTCATGGCGAATGAAAAGAAAGCCACAGCCAGTGCCATGTACTTCAAGCTTTCAACCAGACTGACCTAAGGAGACCTATCTGCAAATGCTACAACAATTTCCACACCTGCAATAAGAATTGGATCCCCAAGTAAAGGGCCTCTACATTATAGTGAGCCCGTTTTGCTCTCAAATGGATAAGCTCATCATTACACAAATGCAGACCTTTGTGAGTAACGTTCCATACATGCGTAAACAGAGTTCCCTACATGTCCCTTAAACAAATCACCCCGCCAAAGGAAACGCAGCTTGCAGGGGCCCACAAGGCGAGGTTGAAACCCGCAAAAAGGGACATCTAAGCTAGGGAATCCTGACTTCGGTTGCCCTGCACAAGGAAACAAGCAAGTTGGAGCCCTCGACTTTGCCTCGAAGTTGCGCCCTGGTTTTGTGTTGGATGTTTGTTTACACCCCCTCAACATGGAAGCTCCCAGAAGGCCTCTGTCCCGGAAAAGATTGCATGTATAAAATGATTAACCACATCTTCAGTTTCCAGAGCTAACAGAAAACGGACCGAACGGGGGGAGGGTTGCCATATGCAGGACTCGCCATCCGTCGGGCGCTTGGCGATCCCCCCTGCTGCAGGGAGGAGGGGGCTGGGGGGCCCCATCTAGTCTTCTCAACAAAAGGGAAAATGGAACCAGAAATGGATTTCCGACTTCCCCCAATTCCATTTTTCAGGGAGTGGGGATGCTTGGGGAATCCGAGTTGAGTTTCCCGCAGCGCGCCCCAGCGAATGGCGAACTCCCGCCGCGCCCGGGGAGTACTGACCTCGAGCGGAAGCCGCTGGGAGCCAGCCAGCTGGATGCGCAAACAAGGATCCGGATGCATTATACACCTGAACATTGCCTTGTACATGGTGGTTTCCCTTTATTTTGGTGTTGAAAAAGCAACATGTTTCAAATGGTTGCAACATGTGTCTTTCGAGGAGCCCTGGCAAACCGAACGACTTTTTGTTGGTGTAAAAAAAATAAAAAAAACGAGTCGGAACGGCGAAGAGTTGAGAAGATAAGCCAGGTAAGTCTTTGGTTTGATACTGGTGACTCAGAGTTCATCACCTTTCCATGGCTGGGAGTGGGGGGTCTGGCCGGGATGAGAGGCCCAGTCTGAGAGAAAAATACCTGGAAGCTGAACCCATTTAGATCTAGGCACAAGAGAAACAACACGTCTTGAGCACGCGCCTCCGGTGGTTGGGAAAAAGGCAAACTTGCTTTGGGTGATTTGGCTTCGAACCTTAAGAGCTGCAGCCCCATCAAAAGTGGTTGGTGGATATGAATCCCCACCCCACATGATGTCAACCTGAAAACCCCATGAACACGGGCTTGCCTGTTGGATTGAAAGGACACAGCCCATGTCTATCTACAGGTCTTCCGGGACAAACCGCCCCCCTGAGCCCCTCCTGTCTCACATTCTGCAGCTCTTCCGGCTTCCGGTGGGGCGGCAACGCTGCCTGCCAAACGGCATGCCACGCAATGTGACGTGGGTGTGTTTGCGTGCGTCAAAATAGGTGGACCCCAAAATCATAGTTGCTTAGCATTGGTGGGTTCAAGCGCAGACTAAGCAAATACTGAGCAAAAAGGAATGTTTGGACTTGGGGGCTGCAGCGGGGCACCTGAAAATGGAGGTTTTGGGGGGCCCGGTTGCTAATCGTGCCCTGACATTACGCCACAGATTAACATGGACCCCAAAAACGTCCGTTTTGGAGGACTCCATGCTAATTTGCAGTTTGCGGGGGAGTAGTTGTTCTCCTTTCAGCATTGCCGGCATACGCGCGCGCCCGCGCCTCCTCATCAGGGTCCAGCATGCCTAGAGAGCAATGAGTGCCCAAAACCCATGAGATCAAGGCAGCAACCTTTTGCGCAAACAGCTCGCTTGTTTGTTGCTCGGTACCCTTTTCTTGAGATGGTTTCAAAAGGAAACAGATGGTTTCAAAGGGAAACAACTGAAGAAAGAAAAACACCAATTTTGAGGGCCTCCTATTTTGAGACAAACCCGTGTCGCGTTGTTGCATCTTCATTGCCCTCCGCTGTTCACGGCGTTGCCCGTCAGGGCTGGCAAACTTTGCGCAAGCACAGGAGACTTTTTCAGGGGCTTCCCTCTAAACCAACCACACAAAAACCTAAAACTTCACCCATAGGGGTTTTCATTTCTAGTTTGATTAGGGGGCCCTCAACACACCCAATGCACAGGTGGAATGACAGGAGACTTGTGATCCCGCCAGCATGCTGGTTCTTACAAAATATCCAGGCCAGTGGCCATGGGGAAAATGGCTCGTTCTTCTGACTTGAAAGGAGCCCCCTCCAAAAAATGTTGAGAGCAACTCCCATTTCTTAAACGTAATTTGGGGCTCGTGCCCATATGATCCCTCATCTATAGATGACAGTAGATATTGAGCGTTGCTCAGTGCCATAAGGAGGGGGCAGGGGGGTGCCCAAATTCCATTTCTCTAGTCTCCCCCACAAAAAGGGAGAATGGAACCATGAAGGTCTCCAGGGGTCACCCCCCCTCCCCCAATTCCCTTTTTGTGGTGGTGGGGATGCTCAATTTATCCCCCCACAAGGTGAGCGCGTTTGTAACATGGGGCAGATTTGGGATCATTGGATGTGAATCCTTGGGGACCCTTTGGCGCAGATCCGGTCAAACATTTTTCCCCAACCAGGCATCTGGCACCTGCATCCCTTCGGGTGTTTCATCTTTGAGGAATTGGACACCCCAAAATGGCGCAACGGTGTTCCTGTTGGCTTCCCTCTAAACCACCAAACAACCCGTGCCCTCGCAAAAAAGACGAGCCACCCATTTCCCCGTGTTCCAGGGATCCGGTCAGGGGCCCTAACGAGGAGCGACACGATGAGCTACACACCCCGCACGGGTATGAGTATTCCTTGGTGCATAAGTTCATTCAAACTAGGAAGACCCACCATGGCGCTTTCCTTTTGAACAAAATAGGGCTTGTTTCTTTCATTCGAGATTTGGACACGTGCTCCTTTTGAGTTGCAAGCCCGCTGGAGACCTCCCTTTGAGTGTCGCGCTTTCCAGCAGTTGGATCCGCCTCCTGACCGATCGAGACGTCCCACCCAAACAATGGACGCTGCAAGCTGAGCCCAAATATCAAGACCCCCCCCGAGCTGAGTCATGGGATAAGGGAGCAAGGAAAACTCCTCCAATTTTCCATGGCGGCTCTCACGGAATCCACCGTACGAAATCAGATGAATGGGTGCCTGGAGGGGACATTCCTCAAAACAGCCCGAGAGACGCTCGAGGTCGCGGATCCACCAGCACTTCCCCGTGGTTGTGCTCCCGAGATTTCCGCTTTGAACAGCACCCGATGAGTAAACTCCCATTAACTTGGCCCAAATGTTGTGTGTGTGTGTCTGTGTTATATTTGATTGGGGACCCTCTGGTGGACATCATGTAGGGGATCTATGTCCACCAACCATTTGGGAGGGTATTCCTTATTCACATTCATAGCCTGGTGATGCTTAAAACCACCCCGTTTCAGGGGAAACATGGGAACCCTGTACTGGTCCTACTCTGCTGACAAGCTGTGAAACCCCTTTCAGAGACAAGCCCGTGTTCAAAACCAGCCGCGTGGACATACGTTCTGCGCTGAACTTGGTATGTGTTCAGTTTGTTTGGTTTCTGTTCATATGGCTTCGTGTTTTTTGAAGGTACCCTTTCCAGATTGGTTTACCAGGAAAACAACAGGAACACCACCATTTTGCATTTCTGGTATTTTGTCGCATGCCCATATGTGGCGGGGACTACTTTGAACCAGGGTTGTTGCCAATCTGCCAGGCGTTTGGGTTGCTAGCGCTTTGCTAAAGTCAGTCCCGAGTGGCGAGTGTTAAAGTGAGGCCCGTTTGAGAGTGGGCTGTTGAGAAGGAAACCCAAAGGCAGCTGACACCTTCAAAGGGGTCCTATGCCTATTTTGAGACCCACACACATATCATATGGGTGTGTCTTAAGATAGGAATTGGACCCCAAAGCATGGCTGGATTCCTTTGGTGTCCCTTTAAACCAACCCAAAAACGGCACCTCAAAAGGACACACCCATATTCACCCTGCGTATATGTCCCCCATCCACTTCAACAAGCTGGGGCGCCCTCACCTCCTCGGCAGCTCGGTGAAGTCATCGTGGTGCGGGAGGTTCAGACGACGACTCTCCTACGCCGACGGTCACCGGGTGACGAATTCGGTCCCCGAAGGCGACGAGCGCGCCTTTGGGGCAGGCCACAGGGTGCTGGCAGGGACATGCCCAGCTCCCATTCTAGGTCCTCCAGTAAAGAGGTTAGAATGAGTTGGTACCCGATTTTTTCCTGTAGTCTATTTTAGTAGGGAAGCCTCCCAACCAAAAAGGGAGAGAAGGGCACTACTGGGGGACCTAGCATTTCTACGGACTCTCCCAACTTCCCAGCTTCAAATTATTCCCCGTGGTTCCGTCTGGTTAGGCCCATGGATAAATCGAAAGGAACGTGGACGGAACGGTTACTTCTAGCTTTTGTGGCGTGCCTGGGGTCCGGGTGTCTTGGTTCTCTCCTTGGTGTTCCTTTTGAACCGAACCCTTGGGTAAAGACGGGAATGGGCAAAGGAGGCAGGGTACCGTGTTATAACCCACCTGCACCAGTTTCAAGTTGCTCTATGGGTGACCAAAGTCGCCAAGCACTTTCTAAGTACCTGCCTCCTCAAGTATGCACGGGATCCCCGTCCCCCTTCAAACCAAAAGGAGTGCCCTCGTAAAAGACTCAGCCAAAGATCTTAGGCAACCACTGCGAGTCTTGGCAAATGGTCAACCCTAAAGCCAGGATTCAAACATGTTCTATCGTCATCTTAGTGAAGGGCAAAGAACCAGCCACATCCAACCACAAAACCCGAAATCACTGCGGTCAATCATTTCGAACGTGGTCCCGTATAATTGCAATATCCAAAAAGCATCCACCATATCACTCCGGATGAAAGCGGACCAAGAAGCAACCAAACCTTTTGAGTGGCTTCAAACATGAGATCCCTTTCTTCATGCTCAGGTTCCAAGCCTTTTGGTTTCCCCTGACATCCCAAAAGGGCCTCGGCCCAGCTCGCGAAACCTTCCAGCACAGCCTAAGTCTTCAACAAGTGGCCTCCTAAAAGAAACCTAGCTGAAACATCATCTCAAAAGGAAACTCACCCGACATAGGTCCAAGAAGTGATGTTCAAACTGGCTAAGTTGGAAGTAAAAGTGTGTGTGTGTGTGTGTTCTTTTTAAAGGGTACCCTTTTGGAGTGGGTTTAAAGCGAAACCAAAAGGAGCCCCCTCCTTTTTGCGGGGGTCCCCTAGAAAACGACACCCCCGTATATATACAGTATATATAGGGACCCCTGTTTGCAGTGGGACTTGGACTTGAAACACGTTTGGACACCCGGACCCTTTTGTAGAAACCCAACGGATGAGTGCAGAACGGCTAACGCCAGCACCAGTTGCAGCACTTCAGGTCGAAGGGAGTTTGCTCCTAGATAGGTTCTGCTTCATATCTAGCCTACCCCAAAGAATAACGTGGCTTTGGAGGCGACAGCCGCAACAGTCACAGTTGCTGGGGAAAAGCAGCAACTGGTGGCACAGGCAACATTCGACGCCATGACGTGCCGGACGAAGGGAGCCTGGTTTTGGCCCTTCTCTGGTAAATTACTTGACTCACTGCGGTCTAAGATGCCAACAGAGAAATCGGAATCTGAATGCAGCTTCCGGCATCTGGGCCCGGGTCTCCGCATTGAGAGTTGATTCAAGCAAGCCTGGCCACAGTGTTGCCTATGGATCAACTCGATCCCATCGGTTTCAAGAATGTATCAAGAAAACTCTATACAGCCCCTCCCCTTACCCGAAGACACGTGATATATTTCAGAATAAGGCAGGACTTCTTCTGTGAGACAGTGTGCCAAAGGCAACCAAAAAGCAAGGCACCTACATTTTGATTCCTTTTGATGCTTCCCCCATCTAGGCATTACTTAGAAACCACCGGCTTTCCCTCGCCACTCCGCGACCCCGCACCCCCCGCACCCCCCCCCCCCCTCGGACCCCGCCTCCTCCGATTGACGGTCCAAGAGCGCCACTTGCACCCGGTGAGGTCTCAAACTTCGATCCGGCGGGTCCTCGATCGAACCGAACCGAAAGAACTCGCCTCCGGGGCGCAGCGGACTTTCGGGGGACAGCGGTTTCAAAGGGAAACCCCTCCCAAACAAATGGCGCAAACATGAATTGGCACTCTTTTTGGGGTTGTTAAGGGAAACCCCTCCTCAAAAAATGGGCTACACGCGAATTCGCAACTCTTTTTTGGGTTGTTTACGGGAAACCGCTCCGAAAAATGGGGAAATAACGAATGGGCGCTCTTTTTTTGGGTTGTTCACCGGAAACCCCGACAACGAGAACAAGGGAAGCAACCCACTGGTCTCAGGTGGCCAGGACGATCCTCACCAGGGTAACGTGTAGTGTCACCCTCGCAGAGTCGTAGATAAGAGTCAAACAACAAAGAGTGAAAGCCTGTAGGTATGCACCAACATATCAAGCCTTTCTTTGGTATTCTGCCGCGACAGTACTCGTCCAGCAAGATTCACTTCAAGAGCACGCCTCGATTGCCGCACTCCACGTCTCCTCCCACTTCAAGTGCAGTTGGATCTTCGCTCAAAGGGAACGTGTGAGGCGCATTACCGTGTCGCTCAAATACTTCGTCCAAGGTGCGGAGTGGTTCTGACACCAGTGCGCACGACTCAAGGATAGCAATCATCATGAGCAAGTTCTGATTATCGCCTGCACCACCGCGTACGTATCTGCATTCCGCGGCAGAAAAGGGCCCAACGTGGATTCGAGTCCGGTGGTTGAGTCAAGACAGCTTGGTTTCAGGAACCATCATCATATGTTTACTTTGTTTCCTGAGGGATCCATGACCTCGAGCAACCCCAAGTTGCACGCCATGGACTAGACATTCAGCTTTTCCCACAAAGCCGCAAAACGGATTATGGAAGCTGTGCCCTAAGAGTGTTGGAGCCTCAAAACAGGTCCTTTTTAGGTCCAAACCCCCCCAGACCCCTCCAATTGAATGATGCTTAGGGAAAACCCAGCTCACAGGTATCGGGTTGGTACCCGCGCGCATGAGTGTTCGCGACCTCCATCCCGCCGGCCCGTGTTTGAAGATTTGCAGCAGGGTAAACACCAATGCCAAAATGGTAGCGCTGGGGTTCACGGGAGCACTCTGTGCACTGAAAGGGTCCTGAGGGTGAAAAACCAATGCCACAATGGTAGCGCTCGCGTTCAAGGGAACACTACAGGGTTCACCAACGGCAATGCGAAAATGTGAGCGTTCACGTTGACCGGAAACTCAGTGAAGTGAAAGAGTTCTCCAAAGCGCCGTGAAAAACCAATGCCAAAATGGTGGTGTTCACGTTCTCCGGAACTCTCAGTGCACTGAAAGGGTTCTCCCAATGCCGAAATGATAGGGTACGGGAACACTCAGTGCACTGAAAGGGTTCTCCAAAAGAAACACCAATGCCAAAATGGTGCCGTTCATTTTCATGAGAGCTCTGAGTGGACTGAAAGGGTCCTCCAAAGGGCGAAAAAACGATACGAAAATGGTAACGTTCGTAGCGTGCAAAAACACGCACTGGATTTTAAGGGTTCTCCAAAGGGTAAACACCAATGCCATGATGTGATGACGCAGCTGTTTCGAAACATGCTTCAAGACTTAGTTGGTCCAAGGTGGTGCAAGATCAATTTTAGCAGTATTCACAAAATACGAGGGTCGACGCCGTTTACAAACTCCGCACGTCCAAATTGTGCTGCGGGCGATTCTCCACCCAATTGCGTACTAAAAGCCCAAGACGTGCAGGATCCAACATAAGGTCGCCAAAGCAGACATCATCCAGTGGCCAGTGGAAGGCAATGACGGAAACGAGTGCCGTTGAGTCTGAATGGACACCCAAAAGGAAGCACTGGAGGTCTAATGAGGGCGGGCCGTTTTGAGGCCCACTTCAAACTGGCACAAAGAGGTGAAATTACAACGCGTTTCTATGCAACAGTAGGGTCTCCGCCAAAAGGTTGTCAAATGAGTGGTCCCGTCTGAAACAATTATTTCATCAACCCCCAAACTAATTACGTCACCCCAGTTTCACGTGTCACAGAGACTCCGGGTACGCTCCTGGGTCCCAAAATGACGGGTGCATGTTGGGAGGACGCACCATCTCTCCCGCTCAGTCGCCGTCGCCCGAGCGCGCCTCAATGAAGTTGGGCGGGAACCGCGCCGCCTCGACAGGCGCCACCGATTCCAAATAGGCCAGGGCTCAAGTACTCCCTCCGTGGGGTCAACGTACATCCTTGGACCAGCTTCATCTAAAAGAACGGGGGCAAGACGATTTGGACAAATCAGGTGATGACTTTGCCCCGATGTTGGAGCAAAAGTGTGCAGCTTGTTTGTGTCTGTCCTCTTTCCCCAGATAGCTGAAAGCTATAGGGTTCTAACTTCTGATAAAGAGGGGAAAGTGAGTTGCAAGCCTGACAGCCGGGTGCTAGGGGGCATGGCGGCACGCAGTTTGGGGTGCTGGTGCAAGTACTGTTGGAGGTGCTTGTGTCGACCTGTTTCAAGCTATCTGGGGTCTATGCTGGTGTATTTTGCTTTACAGAATCCGGTTGTCCAGGTCTCCAGCCCCCCTTGGATGTTCAACAACCACTCAGTGAGGGCTTGCCTTCAAAGTGGATTGGTTGACTTATGGCTATATGATGATACCCTCCTTACATGAAGAAACACCAAAAGGGGAGGGGGGGGAAGCTGAGGCAACATCTGGCAGTGAAAACATGTTTTTCTCCACAACTAAAAAAAGCAATGGAAGGGCCTTTCAGGACGAAAGGCGGGGCAAAAGTCTGATTCTAATTCGCAACCAGTGGATCGGTGCTTTAGATTGGCGGGCCCCAAACCATGCAGATAGGTGAGAAAGAGGCACCTTAACAAATTCCACTTGCGACAAAAGCGGAGTTGACGCGCGTTGGTCGCATGGCATGAACAGTTCACCGGGTCTGGACCCGAGCGTCACCAAATCTCACGAGCGTTGCAGCCACATATCCGCCAAAGCCAACCCCCCCCCCCCCTCCCCAAACCTGGGTCAATCGTCAAGGGTGTGTCTTTTTGTTGGAGCAAAAAGACGGTTTCTGAATGGCTTCATTTTGGTTTCCAAAAAAACACTCCAGACGGGCTGCCGAACGTAGGACTGCAAGTCTGTGCTACCCGAATCTCAAACATGGCACTTCTGTTGCGGCAACCGAGCCTTTCAAATGGAGATCCCTAAAACCCCGGTTCAATGAATTGTCTGACCTCTGATGCTTCGGGTACTTTCCACCCCACCATGGGAAATCAGCCCCAAGTGACCCGACCCCAAAAAGCCTTGAAGGGAACACAGCCACGCCTCGCCCAGGAGGAAGCGGTCGGCAGGCGCCAGGAAGCTGTTGGCCAGCCACACCTCGCGGCCGGGTTCTCATGGAAAGCACCGCCGCTTCGCCGCTGGCGGTGCCTCTCTTCGAAATCCAAACAAACAGGACAAGGCCGGACTCGGGAGCGAGCTGCTGGGGATATGGTCTGTTCTTCCTAAACCAAAACAAAATGGACGCCTTCGCAAGGTGCATACAAAAAAAAAAAAAACTCCCCGTAGCTGTGTGGTTGCTTTCAAAGGGACTTGTTGGTTGTCCTGAGCCGACAGATTAAACCGATGGTTGATTATGATCGGTGGGTTCCCCTTGGTGGGGATTCGCCACTTCTGCAGGGAACACCCGCCTATTGATAGGACGGGTCACCGCTAATTTCAAGGCCCTCAAACGGGTTAACCCTAGCTTTGGGCAATTCGAGGACTGGCAAATCAGATTTCCGATTTATGTCCCTCCCGAAGTTTCGGCAAAATCAAACGGGCAACTTTGAGCTCTCACATTATTTTGCCTGGCCTTGAAGTATCCATTCAAGTTGAAACCCTCAGGGTACTCCCCCCCTGTATGTTCGCCTCTGCACCCTAAATTAACAGTGCCCAAATACAAGACCTACATAGCTCGGTTTACCTCAAGGTGAGCTCGTCGTATGGACAGACCTCATTCTTGTGCCCTTCCTCACTTCCTGAGTGGATTGGCCGAGAAAGATGTCTACACTCTCCTGCAGATTCACATGGAACCGGGAAAAATAAAACATGAGTGGACGAGTTGTCTTGTCAAGACCCTTCTGTTGAGGTCCTTCCGAAAAATTATTGCAGGGGTGTAACCAAAAGATAGAGTCCAGCTTGGGAAGTGAGCGCTGAGCTGCTAGATCCACACAAAACAAGGGCTTCTCCGTGGCCACACTTCCAGTGGCCGGGCAAAAAATACGGGCGCCCTACTGCGGCAGCAGGGAGAAACCGCCAAGAGAGAGGGGTTCAATGGAAACCACCTCAAACAAAACATAAAATGGGGACAATCCCTTTGGAGTCCATTGGAGGCCTGGTTATCTGAGACTCTGACCTTGTGACAGATATGATTCCCAGTCTGGGCATACCGGGCTGGCGAATGGTCAGCAGCCCAGGCAAGGCCTGCAGAAAGAGACCCCACGTGTCTCTTTGCTCCTTTCCTCTTGGAGTCGCTTTCTTAAGTGACAAGCTGGGTGACCACGTAGCGGCCCTGCCATCAAAAACGCACTTTGATCTCCAAACAAGCGCGTTTGGCGCGACGCGTCCTCAAAACACACACTCCGCATCGTCGTGAAAACTTCCGTGCGCCTGAGGCTTCTTTAAAAAAGTGCAAAAAACGCGCTTCGTGTGAGGCTGCCTGACAAACATAGCGGGCTCCTAAAGCTGTATTGCCCCGCCAACAAAAGCCGAAAAATGAGCACAGCGAGAGCGGACTGCCTGCGCGAACCCACATTTCGCGTTTCGCGCGAGACTTTCGCATCCAAGACTTGTTTTTTACGCACAGGGCCAACACTTTGCGCGCGAACCCCTTAATGTAAACACTATTTGGGGAATACATAAAACAATCCGCCTACCAACATCTCTCATCAAAATCTCAGATCATCATCTTTCTCGCCCTTATTCATTCCTTCACATGTTCCAACAGTCTTTTTTTTCAAACCACAGTTTCTGTCACTATCCAGAACCCCAAAACAAAAGAACACCACCTTTCCCGCCCAGACACCCCAATATATTGATGGCAAAATATGGAACTGGACGGGTCAATCACAAGACGCGGCCAAAATCAAGCCCGGGCGTCCAGTGTGTTTTTGAATGGAGGGTTTCCGAACGGGTACATAGCGCCAATCTAATCCAAGCAGTTTGGGCCCCTGGTCAGACTTCAATCACTGCATCCTTGAGTAGGCTTGTGCAGTAGCCTTGCTACTCAGTAAAGCTGGATGGAAATAAAATGCAAGGCTTGGGCCAAACACCAGGCATTTTCGCACCTTCTCAGCTTGTCTCTGGTAAGTCCATGTCCTCCGCAAAAAAGGTCCTGCTGGTGGTTTGCACCAGCTTCGGTATGAGTCTGCAATCACTTGCGTGGATAATCACGCGCATGCGAGTGCGAGCCCCCTTCCAACCATGCCACCAACCAAGCCGCCAAGCACAGGAATTGGGATGAAAGCTTGGCCTGCCAATGCACCTGCTGTACCTAAACCAGAAGTCGCGGTAGCCTTGATACGGCACCGACTTTTGGCATCCTCTTTTTCAAACGACCGACATCGTTCCATTTGAAAGGCCCAGCCCACAGCCCCGCCCACCACGCCACCAGCCAGCTGACCAGCAAAGGCTGTACCCACCCACTCACTTGCCGCAACACGCCCTGAAGGGCTCCCCTGAAGCCTTCTCGAGCTACAGTTGTCTGATCGTCTTTTCTGTACGCCGAAAGGCCGGCCCCTATCAGGCCGGCCACTCCACCCATTGCTCCAGCCTTCAATGCAGCTGATGTAGCATGTTCAAAAGGAGACCCGTTCGAGGGTGACGGGTACTCGCCATTCTTCGCGCCCTCCACTCTGTGATCAGCATGCTGCGTGGACTCAGCGTTGCTCTTAGCGCCGCCAAACTCAACCTTATCTTGAGCTCCAGGCACCTTGTCCGCAGTACCTTCTGGCGCGATCTTTTGCATTTCCTGGTACTTGGGATCGGCGAACTCACGTCGAACCCAGGCAGCGTTATCTGATGCCTTGCACTGAATTTCCTTCACCACCTCCCCCGTTTCTATGTTGACAATTCTGATGTCTGCTGGACTCTGGGAATCAACTCCAAGGTATTCTGCTCTGAAAGGAAGGCCTTTTGAAATCGCGTCCGCATTGTAGGTTCGGGCGTGCTCGATCTCAAACGCCCAGCCTCGCAAGGAATGCACTGGATTGTTGGGTCGCGAGTCGAGAAGCTCCTTCAGTTGATTCATTGCAGTGCTGTTATTGCCTTTCATCGCTGAGAACAATTCAAAGGCCCGGTGGCCAAAAGCATCTCCGATGGCAATGTCAGCGTGACGCATCGTAAGTTCGATTTGGGCCGTTGGCTTCTCAAAAGCTGATTGGTAGCTCTTCGGCGTCTGGAAAATTGAAAATCGCGGCTCCTGCTTGACATGTGTCTCGAAAATCTGGAAAAAGGGATGGCGGTGCACCGGTGGCTTCCGAGTAGACCAGTCGTAGAGCTTGTAAGCCACAGGGCAGACGACGACAACAACAAATGCATGATGGGGCTGATGGTTCACTTGAATGACTTAACCATCAGACCGTTGAGGAAAGCGGCAAACATCTGCGACACTTGTTGAGATTTGGGGTGAATTTGCTGGGGAGCTTAGCTCGGCTCGAAATCAAAAAGGCTTCAAATGTGATGAGCCTCTTGAATGAATCTGTTCTCGGGGAACGAGCCTCAATAGACCGAGCGTATGCATGTCGCGCTTGAGCCCGCTCAGGAAAATATCCACAGTGCGCAAGCAATCAATTCACAGGCCTGGACGAATAATTGATGTCTTCAAAGCAGCTCCGCCAAGTTGCTGGCCAGGACTTGGGCGTGGCATTCAAAACTCAGCGTTGGAATTCTCGGTAAGCGAAACCAGAAATGATGGCCACTTGCAAGCATGTTACTCGTGCCACCCTGGTAAGATCATCAAGTCACAAGCGGCAGAGAAAAGCAGTAGAAAACAGCCCTTCATGCCCTTCCAATGTGGCTTAAGCAGATCCACAAAAATTGCTGCCGAGCCAAAACCTTGATCCGACTCGAGACTCGGGCGGGGCTTGTCGGCGTGCACCTTGAGGCTGTGCTGGTGGGTCCTTGGAGCGCAAGGGTCCTTTTAGAAGGACACATCCTCCAAACACGGTCACTGGCTTATTGATTTCAGAAACAAGCGTGTATAATATATATTTAGATGTACATATGTGGAGATGCATACGCGCAGATGTGTCGGACATGTGTACATGGACATAACATAATAGATCGATAGACAGATAGATAGATTAGATATATAGATAGATAGATAGATAGATAGATAGATAGATAGATAGATAGATAGATAGATAGATAGATAGATAGATAGATAGATAGATAGATAGATAGATAGATAGATAGATAGATAGATAGATAGATAGATAGATAGATAGATAGATAGATAGATAGATAGATAGATAGATAGATAGATAGATAGATAGATAGATAGATAGAGATAGATAGATAGATAGATAGATAGATAGATAGATAGATAGATAGATAGATAGATAGATAGATAGATAGATAGATAGATAGATAGATAGATAGATAGATAGATAGATAGATAGATAGATAGTACATAGGTAGGTAGGTAGGTAGGTAGGTAGATAGATAGATAGGTAGGTAGATAGATAGATAGATAGATAGACGGAGAGAACAATAAGTAGAATAGATTAGATTGGATTGGATTGGATTGGACTAGATTAGATTAGATTAGACTAGATTGATAGATCGATATAGATAGATACATAGACAGATAGAGTAGATTAGATAGATTAGATAGATTAGAGTAGATAGATTAGATAGATTAGATAGATTAGATAGATTAGATAGATAGACAGATCGACAGACAGACAGACGGACAGACAGACAGACAGACAGCTAGATAGATAGATTAGATTAGATTAGATAAGATTAGATTAGATTAGATTAGATTAGATAGATAAATAGATTAGACTAGACAGACAGACAGACCGACAGATAGATAGATAGATAGATTACATAGACAGACAGACAGACGGACGGACGGACAGACAGACAGACAGATGGACAAACAGATAGATAGATAGATGAATAGATAGATAGATGGATAGATAAATTGATTAGATAAATAGATAGATGGATACATGAATAGATAGGGTAGGGTGATAAGATCGGATAGGATAGGGTAGGATGGGATAGGACAGGATGGGAGGGGATAGGATGGGATGGGACAGATAAATTAGATTAGATTAGTTCAGATTAGATTAGATTGGATTGATAGATTAGATTAGATTCGATTCATTACATAGATAAATAAATAGACAGATCGATAGATCGATAGACAGATAGACAGATAGACAGGGTATGATGACAGGATAGGGCTCTCGAAGAAAGAATCGCAAAGCCATGGACGCTCACAAAGCATCCCGGCGGGTGGAAAACGATCAGCCCTTTCCTAGGTTCACATCCAAGCAATACAGAAGCTACTTTTTGACTCTGTTCCATATTTAGCGTGGCCTACAGCAAAATAGTTTTGGGGGAGACCCCAGTTTCACCGTTCGCTTGGCAGAAACGAACGCCATACATTCCTGTCAGACGTTGGTAGCAATCCAGCATCGGTTCCGACAGGGCTGTAACGTGTTTTTGTATGAGAAAAAATGTATGCAAGGTCTGTACAAGGTCAAACGAACATCGTTTCAACAACTCGCTTTGGTCTCTCTTTCCCAAATAGGTTCGGAGACCAGCCAAACCTGCTTTGAACAGCGGCCTCATGGCAAACCTAAGTTTAGCCCTGAGTCCAAGCCAGCAACCCCCCCCCCAACAGCTGCTGTTGCCCACGTGCCAAATCCCCTCGGCACAGTAGGTCCCAGACATTCGCCGAGCGGCACATCTTGCTGAGCCTTGCATATGTCGTAGACTTGACGGACCTGGCACTGGTGGCACGTGGCACGAATGTTCTGGTCCGAAAAGGGTGGCAACTGGTTTCTCAAGATGGGCGTCTTTTCTATGTGGTGTTCCTTTTGGCGTCCCTTGAAAGAAAAAGAACAAATAACGGGCACCAACTCCATAACTCATATGGGCGTGTCTCTCTTTTTGAGGGTTCCCCTTGTTTGTGGGCTTTCCAGGAAACCAAAAGGAAGACCGTTTCGCCCTTCTGGGGGTCCGATTCCTAAAGCACAGACGAGCCACCCAACTAGGAGTGCCCTAAAATGGCGCAATGCCAAAAAACGGGTGCACCGGTTTGAGAAGGCGGACATCATGGCGTGGATTCATGTCCAACCTTTTTGGAGGCGGTTCCAACGCTTAAAGTTCATTCCCTTGAGGGATGTTGACTGTAAGATGGCGTCTATCCCAAACCACTCTTTGTGCTGGCCAGAAAAGTGGCTGTATATCCCAGCAACTCCTGGTGGTAGTGGTTTGGGCTAGTGGAAACTATCTTAGATTGTGACCAGCTTCCCAAACCGGTCTCTTCGGAATTTCCGCCTTGCGAATGGTGATACGGGCGAATTCAGATTGTGTCATGACTAGTCCAAGGTACCGGGACCCCATCGAAATGAGTTAACTTGGCCAGGCTCGGTTTACCTCAGGCTAAATGAGGACCATCCCGGAGCAAAGCTAAACAAGCCAGAATGCGGTCAAGTCGCAAACAAAACCAAGGGGTTGATTTCATTTCCAAGCATCGCTCTTTTCAAACACAATCTTTTGCCTGGGCTTTTGGTGGCTTTCCAGAAGGAAGAATGTCCAAGAAATGGAAGGGCTGACTGCTCAGTTGAGGGAGCCTCGAATATGGGGTTTCCCATGTTGCGACAAACCCAGATCCGCAAAGTGGCCAAGGACTGCGGTTTTCCCAAATCGGCGGCTTGGCAAGATATGGGCTTTGTCTATCCCAATCATTGGTGCTCTCAACCCTTTTCCACAAAAAGACACCGCCCTTCGTCCCCAAAGTCGCGAGTCAACACTCGAAGCTCATACGGCAAGCATGGGCGCAATGATTTCGGGCGTTTTGGTTGGATCCCCCGGTTCTTTGCCACTGACGCCCCCAAGCCTCATACTCCTTGGCCCAAACCCAAGGAAGAAACCCAACATATATCTTCAGACTCCCTTTCGTAGTTCGCCAACCTCACAACAAAAGCAGACCTTTGCTTCCGGTTTGTGGGGCACGGGGGTTCGCATAGGGACCTCCATCCGTCAGCCACTGCAGCCACCGGCCACCACCCCACTCGCCAGGCGCACTTTGCGCGGCGACCTGGCGCTCGCGGCGCCCGTCAGCGTGCCGGTGGAGAAGGCGCTGGGCGGTCGACTCGCGCCTCAGGCAGACCGCGACCAGTCGCCGTCAAATTGGAAGGCGCGAACAGCTCGTTTTAAACATAGGCAGACGGTTTAGGATTCTTTCCGTCTTGTGGATGTCAAGTGTTCGGCTGCTGGGCTGGGCCAGGCTGGACTATCAACCTGAAATGGTGGGCATGGTAGAGGACTTATGTCCACTGTCTAACCACTTTTTAGGGGGGTCCCTATTCAAATTCATTGTCAAATGGCTGGGAATCGCAGGACAATCAGCGGATTTCTGAAGAGCAAGATGGGGTGAACAAGGTTCCGCAAAGGGTACAGGAACTATCCAAAATCAGTAGGGGATCTGCTGAATCAGCCTGATGCCTTTCAAGTGGCCCAACTGTATCCTAGGGACGCTGAGGGGTGCTGCATCCTTTGAGGTTGGGCAAGGAATTTCCTCTCGCGGGGAGGTGTCAAAAGTATGGGGGCCCTTGCGATGGACCATGAGTGACAAGAATGCAAAACTTTTGCCAGCCGCAAGAGGAGAGGCCAGAGAAACTAGGCAACGCCGTGCAGCAGTGCAAAACCGAGGTCCCAGCTGAGTTGTTTTATCATGATGGTTGGACGCAGTTCTAGAAACGATTACCCCATTTTCACCTGGTAGTCTATTGGCCAAAAAACCCTTAGCGCCGTTCCCCAGCGGATAGCTAAACGTATGTCACGAATAGGGCAAACCGGACTGCAAGTGAATGCTTCGGCAGCGTTATTTTTCCTCCCAAATGTCACGTTCGAGAACCGTGTTATGCCGCCAACGGTTGCAGAGGCTGGTCTCAGGAATGAGTCCCACCTCGTTGGCTGCGCTCTCAAGTTCACCGGCTGCGTCCATCTTGATCAAGCCCGCGGGCGGGGCCTCATTGGCCTTTCGCCCTACGAAGTGGCGAAAGCTCTTCGCGTGTGCCTGCGCATCTCGTCTGCTGCGGGCACCGGAGTACACGTCTCGCACAACGTGATGTGACTTGATGCAACCCCTAGTCC